CACACACACACACACACACACACACACACACACACACACACACACCACCTCACACTATCCTGGGCTGATAACCTGTACTGTCTGTAATCCAGAGTAAATCCACAGCAACAGGAATACTGTTTTAGTAGTTTARCAGTCCCAACATRGTGGTGCAATTTCTTCATATTCAAACCATATATCCTGCTAACATACATTAGTTAGAAGTCCAGAAGKGTGTAAAAAGATGAAGCATATTTAGATATACCATATAAGCACAGGATAAAATCACCTTTCTGTGCATCTGTGTGTCACCAGGTCGRCGACACGTCCAGACCAGGCTGGTTGAACCCAGAGCCTCCTCGCTGAACAGTGGAGATTGTTTCCTGCTYATCACACCCCACCACTGCTTTGTTTGGATTGGAGAGTTTGCCAATGTCATTGAGAAAAACAAGGTGAGCAGCTATTTGTCTGGAATACTAAATAAGCACTGAATAATACAGGAAATGTGCACTTCTGCCAAGATTCAGAGAGGTTTTATTATAACCTTCTGCCAAAGACAAAACAGCAATAACTCAGCCAGTTTTGTGAGTATTGAGATCAAATTTGGTGTGATAATAGCTGAGCTTCATCTTCAACACATTTCTATTAGTGAAGATTGAGCCAGGGCTGTACTTGTCATAAAATGTTAGTCAAAGTTATCCTTTAAAATATCTGGTGAACCACTGGATGAAATTTTATAAAACTTAGTAATCGGTGAATATTCATCGACAACTACCCAATTCAATATAGCTGTCATAGCTAACTGACGTTTGATAACACAATAATGGGTATACCTGTAAAACTTCTAGGCTTTGAGCTAAGGTTTGCTGAAAAACAAAAAAAAGACTGTCAGTTTTACAAATATTGAGTCAACTTTGTGTAGTAGTAGCCAAGAGTATCTCAAACACATTGTCCAAGCACCACACATTCACCATCTCAGTCAACTCTTTGGTCTTTTAGCAAAATATCTTGTGATCCACTGGATGGATTGTATTGAAACTCTTAAAAAGTAATAATTGTTACATCTACAGTTCATTAACCTTTGCAGTCAACCCAATTCAAGATGGCTGCCACAGAGACCAATCTAACACAAAAATAGCTGTAATGGTGCGTTCACACCGAACACGATTTCAGCTTCAAAATCGCAGCCAACGCTGAAGTTTGAAGC